GCGCCAGTACTGTTCGTCATTCGTTAATCAGTTTATGCATGGCGCTTCGCTACGTACTCTGTACATAATCCGATACTGGCTCCTGCAAAATGTTACGATGCGCTGCTAATAGCAGCCAATGTGGGGAACACGATTTACATCATTCTACATATTATAGCATGTTTCCTTCTTTTTTTTCCTGACAACATACAGTAGAGCTCACCAAGAAGCTGAAAGTGCAATTATGGCTGCCACGTCACAGGAGAAAATTTTCTGGGCAGCCGAGTCAGAGGGATCCCATGACACCGCGTCTACATTGCAGGGTGCTCTACTGCCACTCGCTATCTAAGCTTTGTGGTTATCTTTTCTTCGGTATGGCCGCCGCACGTTATATGGGGGTTTGTTACGGTTTGAAACAAGGCTAAAATTACTTGCTGCAGTACAAAAGCAACAGAGTGAGCCTGACTTCCAGATAGGGTACCTTTCGCCAATCTCGCTCGTCAAACTACGTACACCCCTAGACTGGTCTACGCAAGCAAATGTCAAGCTCGTAGAATCAAGCTAGGTACTGTACACTCACAGAATGGATGATCGGACAACAACCAAATCTCCACACTCGGATGCGGAGTCTCCAGTCAGCCGGCCGAGATGCCCGCGCCATTCCATTCCATGCCGGTTTTATCCCCTGTCGTATCATTCTGTGCCATTTCATTCGGTGGATAAAGTACCAAGTTTACTAAACTACTACTGTAAGGTAGTCTACAGCCAGTCAACCGAAGCCATCAAAGCTGAAGGAGACTAAGTATCAATTGTTTAATAGGGTATTAGGGGCATGCGGTTAAAGCTGCTGTACATCAAGTTTTTATGTTCACAGTCTGTCCACAGGCTTTCATATCGGCACTCCACGCGCCTAGAGCTGTGAGTTCGTGATCTGCATAGCATTGCAGATCAAGTCTCTATCCAACCAAACCACGAAACTACACCCTCAGCTGACTAACCTTAAATAGATCACGTATGCAACTCTATCCCCCAACATACTGCCCCAACCAAAAAGGGAACCAGGGCACGGGCAGCCAGGTACAGATGTTTGGTCCGCCTTGTTCCTAATGATGGTTGCCCCCCATTCAAGAAAATAATCTACAGTATCTACGTATGTTGTACATGTGGGTTTGATTCCAGACCCCGCCTCTTGTGTGAATCCTTGGAGACGCCAAGAAATACAGCGCCTCCGTTACTGCTCAAAAAGACACCAATCGATCCATCCAGGGACCCGGCCGCCAGCCATCCCGAAATCGCCGACATTGGGGCAGGTCGCATCAACGCTGTGAGTCAGCCGCACCCCGTCATGGTCTTTTCATGAAGAGATGATTCTGGGATGAGCTTGAAGTCATTGTTTAGCTTTAGTTAAAACTCGCTGACAGTGTAGTGTGGCTGAGACCACACTATCGACTCATTTGCTGCGATCTCAGGTAAACTAGTCTCGAAGTGGTCAAGAGGCCGAAGACAAAGACGGCAGGGTGGGCATCGCTGATAATGAATTGCTTCTATCTATGCCTGCCGTTTACTGAGCTGAAATCAGGAGCCCACCTAGAGTTTCATAGCTGCTGTACTGCGTAGCTGCCACCCTGCCCACTTACAGTATAGACTAGTGGTTGCCCCATATCTAACGAACGTCTTCCCCTAGCACTACCAACGGTATGTAGAATTAGTCCAATACATACACGCATACCTAACAAACACACCTAGTTAAGCTGCAGAAAGTAAAAGCATATAGTATATACTTGTGTATATAGTAGTTGGCTATAGTTGCAGCAACGTAGTAAGTATTGTTTAGAAAAGCTGGGCGTGTACTGCAAGTACTCTCTAGTACAACAGAGTATCAGTGAACAAGCCGGAATACTATAAGTTTTGGTATATTTCTATCTTGATAGATCTGCCAAGTACTGTAACCAGGCTGAGTAAATATGGGGGGTGATTAGGGCAGGTCCCCAGGCTAGAAGTTCGCGCTGGCGCCGCTCCGTCCCTGTTCGGACCGGGTACTACCACGAGCTTTTGACTGTAATTACTATAATTGTGGGATTAGATTTACCGATCGGTATTCGGCATTATATTCGCCACTACAAGGGTAGCCAGAAAAGAGGGAGCGGAACCCCAGACCCAGCCGGGGCTGAGGTAAATTCAACACCAGCACCTTGACAACCCGGAATGTGACAAGTAATGAGAACAAGGAATTGTGGTGCGTATACGCGCTTATAGCTCGAAAACTCATAGCAATGATTCGAGGGCACCGACTTGCTCGGAATTACATGAGCGAGCCACCAGTCTAATAATTATACTTACGCTTTATTGCATTCAGTTTTATTGGTGAGACGCAGTTACGATGCCAATTGGTGTTGTAAGGGTTATACTCACCATAGGGATAGCGATAGCGATTTTCTATATAGGTCGGCTAAGCAGGTTTCTACCTGGCCCTAGACGCACTAGGATGTGATGAACTCTTACATCTCGTATAGTGTAGTGTAATATGAAGTCAATGTTAAGCTTAAATTTGAACGAAACTTCTGGTAAATTGCAAAGCGTACTTACAATATGTGAGGACCCGGTCTCCATAACGGGCCGCGAACTCTCCAGCATGTTGGGATTTGCGCGTCATTCTGGCGATCCATGTCAGTGGATCACATGTTTTAGCTTTGCGCTAGATTAGGCAGAGTGGACGCTGCCAGGTCCAGCCTCCTCTCAATTAGCGGTGGCCCCAGGTACACTAAGAGACAGGGGACTGATGCATGTGCAAGCCAAGCATATGCCAAACAATGTCGGTACAGTGCCTACCTACTATGTAACCTCAGGTAGGGTACGTAGGCCTCGTTGCAAGAACCCATGCCAATGCAGTTCGTCAACAAAATACATATCCCAGTAGACGATATATAGAACTCGTAATTATATGGCCATAATTAAAGGGACATTGGTCCCACTCCTTCGCAGTATCCTGCTTGCGTAGCATGTAAAGACAATACGGCCTGGGCACAGCCCGACCGGGGGGTTAACCAAGCTTCGTAGACCATTTGCACAAAATCGGGATAGGCGAACTGTCGGATGACTTGCAAACCGTTATCTGATGACCACGATCGGTGCGGCTAGGGAAATGCCGATCTTCATTGGTGGCCTAGACTCCCGCACGTAGAAGCCAATGCCAACATGCAGCGGTAAGAAAACACAGAAGTACACAGACTTACCCGATGTACCTACATCATGCTGTAGCTATATACATAGGAACCCGGGAGCTTGCTGATCTTAGCACGTAGCCTGAAAATGTGACCATCATGTAGCCTCTTCGAGGCAAGCATGGTAAGGTTAATCAAAAGTAATGGAAAGATATGTAGCTCGGCGTGGTTTTGGTTCAGTTAGGCCAGGCAGGATTCCACATACCTTGAGAGTATGATTTAGGTAAGCTTGTAAGTCGCTCATCTCCAATCGCACGGTTAGAGTTGTCAGTGGCCCTTGAATTTAACAGCCGCCTCGGCGATAACACATTTGATCAACCTCCATCCTCACCACAAGAAACGTTCCTAGGCATTCGTCAGTTAATTTTATGTCTGACGATGAGATAGCGGTGAGTAGTAGGGGGAAGTAGAGAGCCCTTGGCAAAATACAATAATTTAATTCTTCCTGCAGCTGGATAAGGCGCTGTGCGTCAATTATAGTATGTTGAGGAACTAGAAAGCAGATGGCTCAAGCCAACATAGGCGTCCGGCCTCTGATGGGTAAATTCTTTTCTATATTTCCCTAAAGGGGAACATGCAATGCCGATATTGGTAACTACCGCTGTAAGTACCCAGGTCTTAGCAGTAAGTGGCTGGTGAGCGTAACTAACAGCCTACCTAGGTATTCAGTAGTGGTGCCCCCTACGCGGTCTAAGCTAGAGTCGCAGCACATAAAGGGGTCTGCGTTGTATAGGCAGGCAGACTACACGATGAACATAAATCAATACGAAAAACTTAGGATTTACAGGGGGTATCGCCACATTCGTTGGGTGTGTATTATAGCCGGCCAACAGCTTATTATGAACTGACTCTCAAGTGCTTCGATTAAATTTACACATGTGAAATCGTACAAGCCCTTATCCATATTAAGCAAAATCACCTCTGCAAAGAACTTTAGTTAGGGGTACAGATAAACAGTTAGATATGGACATGTGAGTATACAATAGCCAGACATATCAGTAGAAGAGCTGCTGCACATGCGTTGAATACTTCACACTATCCGGTAGGAGGCCTAGTTCCTACAGTATCATCACTGCTTGTACTCACGGTTTATTAGAACCTATTCCTATACGTAATATATACAAGTTTGCCTATGTTCATGTTGGTTATGACCGTGGTAGCTTCGGCCACGGTCTAAATATTAGAGGGGAGCATTCATCAGCTGTGAATGCCTTAGGTATGGCGGCCGGCTTGCGCTAGTGGCCCTCAACAGAGATATCGGCACCAATCTCGAGGTCGCCATGCACGCGTAGCTCGGCTGTTTAATCGGTCTCCCTGATTGTAACATGCATTCCGCTACGCAGCATGCGCCGACCTAGCGGCTGTATAGGCTTGCCGCTAGTTGACCTCTGAGGAAATGTTCTATACGCTGCCTACGCATGTACCAATCATGCCAAAGCTAGGTGTCATAACTCTAAAATCGATGATATTGATAAGACCACTGTTGCAGAGCTGCATGCCTCTTGGTCAACTATCTATAGATGCTGGTTTCAACGTGTGGAGCGAAAGCTATCTGAGTGGGCAAGGCTGTTCGTTAAACTACTTTGAAGATATCTGAAATCCTAGAGGACTCTAAGAAATGCCAAGACGATTTAATTATTGAAGCTGTTGTATGCTGATGCTATACGCACAACCTCCCGATCTATCTGAGACGATCTAGAGGTATGATTCTCGCTTAGGGTTCACCCGAAAGCAAATGTGCGAGAGGTCCCGGTTCAATTCCCGGCCAAGCCCATTCACCTGTTGGTCCTTTAACAGGAAGTCTTCATGGCTCAGTTGGCCAGAGCGTTAGTCTCATGTTTATATGATCCAATTAGAGATTGGGACATTCAAAGGTTATGAGTTCGAGCCACACCGAGGACACTATTTTTATCTATTTATTATATATGTTTTAATGCGATAAGAGGGCGAGCATTCTGGAGGATAAAGCTGTAGCCTGAAGTCATCCCACCTACAACTAATTTAAGCTTGAGCTAACCTAAGCAGCACTTGACTAAAAGCGGAGAGCAGTTATGCAATTCTTAAGATTAAGAACGGCGTGGTATAACATAGGGCCTACGACGTTTAGGGCCCACGACGTTTAAGGCCTCTTGCGACGTAAATTAGCTCTCTCGTTCAACAACGTCACCCGCTGCGTTTGAACTTGACTGTAACGAGAAGAAGGCCGCATTGCCCAATGTTAAGCGCTGCTAGTGGGGATATTGAGCGTCGTAAACGTCCAGGTCTTTCCACCATCCGGTGTTGCCATTTCTCCACCGGTCGCTCCGAAGTTCCAGCTTCCAGTACGTTTCCAGTTAGGATTTGGAGTGTTCAGGATTATCGAGACATTCTCCCAGCCTGAACATTGCCAAGTCAGTTATCACTTTTGTTACAAACCGGGTAATTGTAAGAAGAAGGCCGTACTATGCGCTGGAGCGGCAGCACAAGGACGGGCCGCACACTCTACGGAGATATAAAAGATATTCCCCTTCTGTCCTTGGCCTAGAAAGGCATTGTTAGCTCCTGAAATTGGAAGCCGACGGCTCCATATATATGCGACATACTCGTAGAGACGTTCGATACCAGTTGGCCATTGACGTAGACGCTCTGGTCCCACAGGCTTGTTGATGGATTGAGCTTATCTACGAGTAATGTCAGGTTTTAACTTCTAGAGTGACAAGTATAAAAGCTAACAGTGTGTCCGAACTTTGGTTCCGGGAGCGGCGATTACTGGTTTGCCAACCTGGGCATTTGGAATAAGAGCATATGCGAAGTTGCACCAGTTGCTCCCTAGGTTGGTGCAATAACCTAAGCCAACGGGTGCATTCTCAGAGACCCCTTGAATAAAGTCTCTGTCCAGCTGTATAGCGCTCCACAAGGCAAGATCACCCGTGATGGGATTAGGGACGCTTGGAAGGATGACTGTGGCTGAAGCTTCCACGATAGTTGCGCCGCCCGAAGTATACAGACTGATGATGTCGAGGGTGGCAGCGGCTCGATGGATAAGCGTCAAACAAACGGCAATGGCTGTAGACATGCCCTTCATGATGGCGACCTTGAGTTAGATATTAGCCTAAAAGGCGAGTTGAGATTTACGAGGCTAGAGTGTGAGCTTACTGAAAAGAAGGAAGGAGACGTCTGGGCAAATAGAGGCAAGAATTTGGTTATAATATATCAAAACTCGGAAGTTCAGGTGCGAAATGGAAACCAGAAATCCACTAGTAACCGGCATGATGGGGTTGATGTTGTGTACGGACGCTGATATGGAATGGAATATAGCCGGTTCATATAGTCCCACCCGATGCTATCCAGCGGCCAATTTAAGAGGCAATTCATCATGACCTCTTGGCTTTGGTACACCTCATGTTACATTTGGTGCGCGTGACTTTACGCTGTGTTAAATTCCGTACTTTTCTACGGCCGTAGGAATTTGAGAAATTCTAGTTAGAGAATTAATAACTTGGGATCCTGAGACAAGGTGGCGGTATATTGAAGAGTATGTAAAGCATCCACAATGGCGCTGTGTATAAACATTTCATTTTGGAGGATGCCGTTTATATCCGTCTCTCGTCGAATGGCATCTAGAGCACCCCTCCTGGCACATCGCATGCTCGCGGTCTGCATTTCATGCCGAATTCAGCTTTGCCCCAGCCCTATAAAGGAGCCAGAGACAACTGAGGTTACCAGTCCACCACGTGATGCCCCGAATCTGGCTCCAGACATCGTGATCGATGAAGATGTAGACAGCACCATACGTGAAACGCGCAATAGTGTAAAGCAACCCCGCGCGGTTGATTAAATGAGGCTCGACGCCCGCGAACGTGGCGAAGCTCATGGCCGCCACAAACAAGGTATAGTTTTCGACTGAATTGGCGTGGGCCGACTCGTTGCGCTTGAGCATGTCCAACTGTTTCTGTGTAATCTTGCCCGACCGCACAGCCGCATCACCGTATTTGGCCAGGTCCTCCCTCGGCGACGCGTTGTGGTCAATGCCGTACCATTGCTTCAGGGTGCGCGACGATAAAAGGCCGTACGCGAAGAAGAATTGCCAGCTCAAGAGCCCTGGCGCCCAATTAGCAACTGATAGCCCAGTTCCGGCGGCTCGTAGGCCGAGTGCCGTTGCGAAAGACGCCATAGCGACTTGTATGCAGGTACAGAGTGTCAGGGTATGCAACAGCTAATGGTCGTAATCGGCAATGCGAAATGTCCTGGTTAATGAGCCTCAAGGTAAGTACTTGGACAAGCACTAAACACCTAAAAGGTAGGTTGGGTGGTTAATTGGGGTACCGGATCGGGAATTAAGTACTGTAGGTGAGCTTTTATAAGAATTGTCTAGTGAGTCGGTAAATACAGTGAGTCATTTACTGACTGGTGGAAGGATAAGCCGTAAGATTGCTCACTCATCCCCTGCTCTATGAGTACTACTCTAAGTAACAGTACTCTCGTTTCGAATGGGAATGTCGCGCCCTACCTGTCTTTTCGGAACGAAGTGTTGGCAACATTTCGTTCTGATTTTTTGAAACGAAATGTCGCCGACACTTCGCTTCGAAATTGACTAAAATGCCTAAGAAAACAAGAGCTTTATCTAACTATATATAGTTAGCGCGACATTTCGTTTCGAAACGACAGTAGTGTACTTACTATGTAAAATGGGAGATCTAACCTTGAACTAGTTGCCCGGGAAATGCCGAGAAACAGGGCGTTGCTAAATTTAGCAGTGAGGTAACTAACTGCCTATACCTATATTCCTTCTGGATGCTTGTAACGACATTCTCGACAACTGTTTTGAGGCGAACGAACCGTGTACTTAATACCATGTTTAGAATGACAGGTTCAATACAATGGTGTCGAATGAGGGGACCAACTGCAGAGGAACATAAACTCACTGCTTGCTCAAGCTTAGCGGAGAAGGACCCTGCCTGTACGATTTGCTTGGACCCAAATTTTGTCTGATCCAAGGGCGATTCATGAACCCATCTCGGCCAGGGCTTCCGAAAGTGAGTTTCCGGTTTTCCGGACGTTCGAATCCCAGAGTTAAAAATTTCTCGTTCTGTGTAAGGTTTGAGGTTGAGTTTCGTAGGCAGTAGCGAAGGAGAATTCGGTTAGATGACATGTGCCGTAGGTTACATAAACAAACGATGGGTAGGCTGGACGCGGCAGAGAATAAAACGGTCGGCCGGTGTCAATGATTGCCGTCTTGATAGCCTTAGTACTGCCAAGTCATATGCCAGTTATAATTCTTAGATATCGTAAAGAAGCAATGTCACTACTCAGTAGCAACTGTGACTTATGTGAAAGCTTCAACTATATTAATCATTTCATCGATGTATCAGCCCGTGGCGTCCGCGATGATACATGAACGACTTTCTCGTCTGGTTTGCTACTCCTTGGAGCAAAGTGAATTTCCGTTTGAATAGCTTATGTAACCAGAGTCAACATCATCCCACTGATTTTAAGGGGACAATTAGAAAGGAATATATACTAATATCGTATTGGAGGCTGACTACATTTCCGCAATGAGCATTTAACAGGCTTCCTTATCTGCTCTTCGGTTTAAGACTAACTAAGGGAAAATCTTCTGCCTAGGATGACGTACTATCGGTAACCAGACGCCCAGCTTGTGTATCGTCGTGCTTCGAGGAATAGCTGAAAAAAGGGCATACTCACGTCACGATAAGTTAAGAACGGATTAAACGACCTTTAGGGACGTTTCGTAGTCGAAGCAACGCGAACTATTTGAGTCGCCTATTGACGCTGTACGCGTAGGTTTTGGTACTAGACTAGCTCGGGCGGGTAACGTTGTGTTCGACGGCGCAGCGACAAAGGGCCCAGCAGGCAGAGCATGGCAACGAAGTTCACAGCGGGGCTACCGGTTGCTACACTAGGCATCCTGGAATTCGGAACGCTTTGGGGCCGGGCTCATACGAATTGGTTCAGCTGCTCGGCATGCGGGTGGTGGCCTGGGGGCGCGAGTTTAACAATCCCGGTGTTCAAGGGCGGTCCCTTCAATACTGAGCATTCCGCCACCCCGAGTCGCTTGCGGTTGGCTAGTTGGCAAGCTGGGGGAATAAAAATCTTGCTTCACAGGGGCTATGTGCCGGTGTCACTGTTGGTCTAAACCCCTTAACCCGTCGCAACATTCTGGAGGCTGGCCCCATAATGCTGAGGCAGCTTGGGATTTGATCAGATTTCTGAAATTTACTCTCGCAAACCAATGTCGTATACGTAAATGCAGGTAATGGAGGATGCCTGAACTAGTGTAAAACGACATCGTGCTAATGAAGGAACTGACCCCGAACCCCTGCATGGTCGCAAAACCGGCTGATTGGCTAGAAGGCCTTGTCTGTGCTTGGACCCCATGTTTGCGACTGCGTGCCGGTGGGGGATGGGAGGGCCACAAACGGGCCGCTGCGTGGAAAGGCTCGCGTGGCGAATAGTACAGTTGGGGGGAGTTGTCTGACCTGGGCGTCGCTCGGCGCTTTAAACTGGGAAACAACAGTCTATAATCGTTAGAGGTCGCTTCGGGATTAACAATTGAAGATTGTACTAGCAATTGCTCAACTGTTTGTCAGACAGGCCTAGTTTTGGCACAGTATGGGGGATCCGTCGAAGGAATCGATCTAGACCTTGTCGCGTTTCGATTGAGCTTGTAGGTATGGTAGAAATAAGCTGCTGGACTCGGCTGCCATTTATGGCAGCTGAACCATTGGTCGTGCCATGTCCTTGTAATGGGGCACGGTGAGCTGAGTATCATTTGTGAGACAGGGGGTTTGAATGATAAACTCATGGAACCCAGCCCTCTTTTTGTCGTCTGATACAACGGACGCCTACATGTGTAGAGTAGGTAGGTGTTTGTCCCGACTTCATCGAATTGAGGTTTTTGG